ATTATTATTATTATTATTATTATTATTATTATTATTATTATTATTATTATTATTATTAGTTTTTCACTCAAAGAACCTGGCCAGAGGTCTAGTTAGTTCTGTCAGCACCCTGAGAATCTAGTGAGCCTGATCGTGACTTTATATTCAAATATTTTTTTATACATAAATATTTAAATGCATATAAAAAATATTTTTGTATGCATACATGTCTACATCTAAATATTTTTGATTTATATAAAAATATATATAAATACTTAAATGTATCTAAAATATATTGATATGCATACATGTTTAAAAAATATGCAATAAATATTTATGTATAAATATATTCAAGTATAATATGTATGAATAAATATATTCAAAGTAGAATCCCCATAATTCGAAAATTTTCAATTTACACAGAAATTCAGACTACCAACAGTTATGCAGAACGATTTTCTATTTAGCGGGGTACGAATTATCGAGACTCGACTGTATTTATATATTTTGCAACGTTAGCAAATTCAGACCAAAGGTCAGCAGGACACTAATCTCTAAATGTTTAATCCGTTAGTTAAGCTGCTTTAAATATTTTCAACTCTTTCAGATTTACGCCAATTTTAAATGTGATTTTCCCTGAACTCTGCTTCAGACACATAGTTTACATAACAGCGTTTAAATATGTAAAGCAAATATAATAAAATGAGCACAGGCTATCTCATTCAACAAACACAATCAATATTTTGATCAATGTTGCAGTTGATGGATTGATAAACAGTTGCACAATGTTAAACGCGATTTCACTCACTCAACAAATGAATAAAATTTTAAAAGTAAATATACATACATATATGTATATTTATATATTCAGTAATTACTGTAATTCTGACGTATCACATTTTCATTCACACAATAACAATTCATATGAATTGTTTCTATCTAAATATTTACTTATGCATGAATCAAACGGGCTTTGTAATTTCGTCCAAGAGCTGAACAGCTGATGGCTTCCGGAAGGGGGGCAACATCAATCAATGACGCCTTAGCGTGAATTTGAATCATGGACAAACGTCAAAGCTGCACTGATAATTTCTGTCGATTGCCGAGTTATCTTGGCCTGGCCTATCAGCCAAGTAAATGGCTAGAAAAAGAGCTGATTTCTTTGTGGTCTATGGACATTGAAGTGGAGTGCGCCTGTCAGCCAATACCTGAAATGTTTTGAGCTCATCCTCCTCGGCTTGCGGCGACGGCTTTTTGCCGTTGCCCACCCACAGCCGCAGCTTGGGCCCCTTGTGCAGCCGTCGCTCGTAGAGGCTGTGCGTCTGGCGATCGAATGCGAACACCTTGGGTCGCACCACTGCCCCGTCATGGGTGGTTTCCTTTGCCTTCGTATCCTGCAGCTGTGTCAGCTTGACTCTGTCCTCCAGCGTGAGGTTGTTCAGCCGCAATGCCTGTGTGTCCAGATTGCGTATGGCCTCGACTATTTCCGGCTGCATAATGCGACCCACTCCAGCAGCGCTGCTGGCAGCAACGCCACCGCCGCCGCCGCCACCTGGACCAGCACTGCCACTGGCGAAGGCCGTGCTCAATGACCTTGTGCTGCGTATCAGTGGCGTCATTATGTCCCTGCCCTCGGCCGCCTCATTTGCGGCGTACTCCCGTTCCATTTCCTCGGGCGTTTTGCTGGAGTTGCTCGGCAACGAGGGCAGCGAGGCCAACGATGCTGGCGCTGGCAATGACAACGCAACGGGCACTGGCGCTGCCAATAAAATTTCACCGTCAGCCACCTTCATTTCCGAGGTCGGATTCGCGTCGAGCACTTGGCGGATGTTGCCATTTGTCGCTGTTTGGTTGCCGTTGCCGTTGCCATTGCCATTGCCATTGCTGCTGTTGCTCTGGCTCTGGCGGTGGCTCTGACTGTGGCGCTGGCTGTGCCTGATGTTGCTTGTCTCTAAATCCAAGCTATTTGAATTAGCTAGTCTATCAGCGCTTATCAGCCGGTTCTTATCGACGTCATCAGCAGACGACGTCGTTGCCGTCGTCGTCGTCGCTGTGGCTGGCGGCTGTTGCTGCTGTTGCTGCTGTCGTTGCCTTTGCTGTTGCTGTTGCTGTTGATGCAGCTTTTTATTGGCATTTTTATCGAGCGGCTGATCAGCGGCCCCAGTTAATTTAGCATTTGTTGGCGCCTTTGCAATGACATAGCGCTCCGCATCAGAGTCCGCATCCAATTCATTTGAATGGCCGGCCGCGACTCTGGTCGACGTCGACGTCGACGACGACAGCGACACCGACGACGATGATTTGGTGCGAAATATTTTTGGCAAACAATTGCGCATTCTGCTAATTATACAATAACACACTCACACTCACACTCGCACACTCACTCGCTCTGCCCAGCTACTTCACAATATCGATACGCACAACAAAAGCACTTGACACTCGACGCGACTCGACGCGACTCTCAAGCAATACTCCAAATGTCCTTCTATGCCTGCAGCAGCAGCAGCAGCAACAACAACCACGTTAACCTGGGCAGAGCACTTGCGTAAGCAGCAGAGCGGCACATATTATGGCCGAGAAATAAAGCAAAAAAAAAAAAACCGAAAAATTGAAATGTGCGTGTATCGAAATGCAAAGATTTCCACTTATCAAATTGAGATTTAATTAATCCAGTCGAACGAGTCTCGGCACTCCGTGTGGCTATGCAGGGGCACTGGGCCGTCGGTCGTGAGTTATGGTCGGTGTCTAGAAATTGAATATTTCACAGGTTTGTTTTGCGGTCGAAACGCGACTGACTGACGGACTGAGCGAGTGAGTGAGTGAATTGGCTCGACAGTGGGGCGACAGCTACGAGTAGCTAGCTGGCAATGCGGCGGGTTAATCTATTTCTTTACTTTTTGATTTCCCACCTTCAATGTTAATTGATTTGATTTCTCTGGCGGCACATTGTTTATGTGAGACTCAATGGCAAATAACCGCGCGCACACACACGCACAGGGGTTGAGTTGTTCTCTTTTCACACACACACACACATTCATACTCGCTTCTCAGCCAGTGTAAATGAGCGGCTATTTAAGGCAGCGCAGCTGAGCAAAATGTAAAGCAACTGCAGCAGGGAGGGCGTGAAAGGGAAGCAGAGAAAGAAAACGTACTTTGGCGAGAGCTTCCATCATATAACGAGCGATGATAAGATATCTTATCAAAGACGTAACACACATGTGCGTTGTCGACAAAAAAAGGCAAAAAAAAAAGCAAAAAAACAAAAACGATGGCCCAGGGCCAGCGAAACAAGAATGGCCAAAACAGCCATTTAATCAGCATCATCACAAGGCACACGACTATCTATACCAAGAGTACTTATATGTGTATGTATGGGTGGGTATATGTACATGTGCTTTATGGGCTCACCTGATACACGTCCATTGAGTCATCCTCGGGCGTCAGTGCCAGCGCCAGTGAGGATTTGCGATGGCCGGGACGACCGCCGCCGGAGGAGCTGGTGCCCGATGTGCCAGTGCCTGCAAAAGACAACAACAACAGAAAACAGAATGAAGAGAAAATCATATTACGATTGCATCAACAGCGCGCAGCGGAGCGCTGAAAAGCATGCTACATTATTTTGCGTGCGCGAGCAAAAGTGTTGCCTACTTTTAGGTTGACATTCGCAACCGACAGCGAGTGTGAGAGAGAGAGAGAGTGAGTGAGAGTGAGGGTGAGGATGAGAGGGTGACAGTGACAGTGAGAGTGAGAGTGAGAGTGAGTGGGTGAGTGAGCGAGCGAGATAGCCATTGAGAGATACTATCAAACGGCAGCTGAAGACTACCGCCGCCCATTCATATCTTCGTCTAGTCTAGTCGCACGTTTTATTTAATTATAAGCGCTGGCATTTCAACAAAACACTTTATAACAGGCACACGCACGTTTGGCGCCCCCAAACCAATAACCCGCCCTATCCTCCTTCTGCTCCTCCTCCTCCTCCTCCAGCAGCTACTGCTGCTGCTGAGGCTGCTTGTGTCAAGACAATCCGCTTACCCACTAGCAACTCGGACTCGGATGCCGGGCGTGTTAATGAAGCCCTACGTGTTGTTGTTGTTGTTGTTGTTGCTGTTGCTGCTGCTGCTGGTGTTGGCGGTGGCGGTGGTGGTGGCGTTGGTGGTTTTTCTGCCTCCATGCCATGCGTTTGCATTTGTCTGGCCGCCCTGCCCATCATTAGACCAACGCCTGCTCCCGTCGCCGTGTCCTCGCCTTCGCCCACGCCCACGCCCACGCCCACACAGCTGCAATCGCTCTCAACGCCTTCCTCGCTCATGTGGGCCGTTGATGTCCCGGAGAGGTTCGCTGGCTGGCTAGATATAATCATTGTTTGGCTTTTAGCCGTTGTGGTTGCTGCGCGGTGATTTTGTGGGTTTCTCGTTGTTGTTGTTGTTGTTTTATTGCTTTTATTTAATTTTTTTCTCTGCGTTTTCCGTTCTTTTTTTCGGTTTTTTTTTTTTATTCGCTGACTTTGCAAATTAACTACAAATATTCAACATAATTATCGCTTTTGATTATTTTCGTGGCACTATGTTAATTTGTCATTTATTTTGTTGTAGCTGCTGCTGCTGCTGCTCGACTATTTGGCTGCCCGGCTGCTCCGTCTGTTTATCTGGCTGCGCTGGCATTGATTTCAGACAATTAGTGCGTAATGATAACCTGCTCCACATGCATAACTATGTGTGCTCCATAATATCTATGAGTATTTATGAACAAAAATAGCCCTGAAACATAAACATGCGGGACGGAATACGGCCCCAGCTCATATCATTTTATATATATATATATAAATTTATATATATATGTGTGTGTGTGTGTGCGAGTATGTACTCGCACTTATGTATATAGAGAAAATATTTGCGTATATTCAAATAAATATATGCTGCCTGGCATGGCCTAGCTTGGCCTGGCACGGCCTGGCCTGGCCTGGCCTGTGTGTATCTTATCGTTGTTAGCGTCCGCTTGCCTCAGTTGCGCTGGCTAGCGGTACGCGTTGTAATCTAAACGAAAATCGATAAATTGTTTAGATAAAAGCCACAGCAGCAGCAGCAGCAACAGCAGCGGCAGCAGCAGCCGCTGACGTTGCCAGCAATAATAAGCAACAGGGTTTGGTTTTTGGCTTTGGTTTCGGTTTTGGTTTTGGCTTAAACTTTCGTTGTGGCCATGCTCAGATATTTGCTGGCCATATTTAATTTTCATTTGAATCTCAACTATTTGGAGAACACGCACACGCACACACATACCGACACACACACACAGGAATATACTTAAATCTAAAGTGTCTCTTGATGAGGTACGGCAGCGGAAATGGCGCCAATGGAACTGGAACTGGAACTGAAACTGAAACTGCCTGCAAATACTTACAACACTTGCTCACATTAAGGCTCATGTTACACACGGACACACACTGGCAACAGTTGCTGGCTCATTAGTGTGTAAAGTGTACACAAGTTGTGGCTGTGCGGCAACGGCAGCGCGCGGGGGCGTGGGGGAGGCGGTTTGGGTGGGTGCTGCTGAAGGTGCGCTTGATTTTGATCGATTAGCACTTGGCTTATTTACGAGTATGCAGCATGGCCACGACGCTGTGCAAACACTCCGGGCTATATTAAAATTTAACTGCTCGACAAACAGGAGCACAGTTACGGCTACGGCAACGGCTACGTATACGGATACGGAGGCGGATGCGGATGCGGATGCGAATACGATGGCGACTGGCGTTATTTGCGTACGGCAAAAGGAAAATAAACGAGAGCAACTTCAATGAAAAACTCAAATTGCAGTTAGTCAAAGTTAAATTAGGAATCCGTAGCAACAACACTGAGCACAGCAGAGCACAGTACGGTAGAGAGCGTAACGGGCCACTGGTTGGCACTGACTAGACCTGGCCAACGGTGAAACGTCCGCACTAATCCGTTATGAAAAACTGTTTGCCAGATGATAATTCTCGCACGGATTCTGAAACCCGGCAGCGACCGCACCGAGCGCTACACGCCAAACGCTCGGCCTTTTGGCCACAGTCAAGAAGTTTTTCTATTAACTGTGAATTGGGCTCAAAGCGTGACAGCTCGATTGCAATTGGAGAGCATCGAGAGTTCTATTAATAATTAAAATTAATTAAAAGTGAGATAAATATCAATGTAAAGCAAAGTTCCTGATTGGCATTGGCGAAAGTGAAGAGATCTTTGAATAATTGAATTCAATTTTAATTGAGAAATATAGCACTGAATATCTCTGAATGCGTATATAATGGGTTCTATTTAAACAGAAGTCGTTGAATGGAATTGGAGTAAATTAATTATTTATCATTATAAATAGAAGTTGGTTGTAAGCAAAAATAAAATAAATAAATAAAGAAAAAATATAAGAGCTGAATTAATAATTTAAAATAGATATAAACATATTTTTGATATATTCAATCTAAAAAGAAATTTTTGTTAAAAAAAAAATAAATAAAAAAGCAAATGAAATCAAAAATAATAAAATAAATAAACAAATTAAATAAAATTAAAAAAATAAATAAATAAATCAATTTCAGCTCCAATAATAATTTAATTCATATTTATGCAATTAATTTAGCTTCAACAAAAGTTGTTGAGCGCAATGAATTATTAATAATATAATAATAATATTAATAATAATATGAATAATAATATTAATAATAAATACTAATAATGAAGAGATCCATTAATGTCTTAAAATTGAAATATATGTATGTATATCTATATTATAAATTCAATTTATATATAACCTTTTCATTGAAATCAAAGAAAAACAATTAATTTAAATAGTTTAAATTGAATATAAATATATGTATATACATATACATATATATTTCATAAGAAATTTTAAACATCATTTCCTTTTGCTGCATTATAAAAAGGGTTAAAACATTGACGTTTTACCGCTGCTATTCTTCAAGCTGCTTTTGGCCTTGTCAAAATCAAAATTGAATATTTGGGCCCACAAATGACTCTTTCAGTGATTTTCGAGGAAATTGGCACTTCACTACACTCAAGTTTCCAGGTATTTCAATAATTTGCTTTACAGTTTCACAGAAATTAATGCCTTTTGATTTATATATATATGTACTTGTTCACTCTATATATATACATACATACATACATATATATGTGTATGTGCTTATGCTTGAGTGGAACTTGTATTGCTCGCACTTCAAACGGCACAATTATAAATCATATTAGACCACTTGATACCGAAACTCATTAGGAATTACGACTTCTTAAAAGGGGATTATAAAATTGTTATTAAAATGCTGACTTTTTTTACCTAATTATTTATATAGATATATTTGCTATGCAATTGGCTTTAGCTGCATTTGTAATTGGCCAAGACGTGATTTTCAAAGGCTTTAACATCCGCAGCGAATCGAGTAAATATTTTTGCGCGGTTCAAGGCACAAAAACAACATTTTTTTATTAACAATTTCCGTTTTGGTAGCCAAATGCGCACAACAACAAAAAAAACTGAATACAAAATAATTAAATAAATAAATAAAAAAATTCAACTAATCGAATGGAAATTTCAAGTTCGAGACATGAAAGTATTTGTTATTTGTTATTGCATTACATGAAATCGACATTCTTGGTCGGGGTAGGACAAAACTATTTAATAACAATTGCATTGCGTTGCAGTGCAGTGCAGCGCATTTGGCGTATGGCATTAGCCGGTCATTGGCCAAGAGAGTGTCTTTTGCGCCTTGGCCGTTGTCATGACAACCAATTAATTTTTGATAAGATAATATCAGGCAAGTTTGCTCATAGTATTCAGATGTTTAGGCCCCCGTACACACATTGAGATACGGTTGCTGAAACTGAAACACAGGCGTATAATGCGTTTTCACCAGCACACACACACATACACATGCATAGATAGAGGGAGATACACACGGACACAGTTACAAATAATCAAGTAGAAAACAAAAACGCGTGCACAATCTACATCTACCACATACGAGTTGATACATATATATATATGTGTGTGTGTGTGTGTGTGTGTGTGCTGGGGAATTGAACTAGTGCGGGCGCGAGAGTACTCTAGAGTACAGTTAGTTAGTTTGGCCTGCTTCTGGGCACGTTGCTCACAGCAATTCACCCAAAATGCGAAACCCAACAGCAACGAGGCTTTATCTAACTGACGGCGATCATCAGCGCTCAGCGCTCAGCGCTCAGCGTTCAGCGTTCAGCGTTCATAGTTGATAGTTGATAGCGGGCATGGGGCATGAGTCCAGTCAGTGTCATCGCACACACATACGCACACTGTCTTCTCTCTCTAATCTAATCTCTCTGGCAGAAGGTGCCAGGTCGCGACGCTGCGCTGCGCTGTGTGAGAAGCTTCACGTGGCCGCAGCCACAGAAGAGCAGCAGAAAGGCGACAGTTAGTGTTAGACCCAAAAGGTTTTCTAATCGCATCAATTCAAATTCAATTGATTTCAATTCTGATTGAGTAATTAAGGCGCAACATTGATAAACGCCACGCACAGTTGCCCAACGGCCATTGGCCATTGACACCTGCCTGGCTGGGTGTTGGCATTGGCAGCGCTGCTTCCGCTGCTGCTGCTGCAATTTCGCTTTTGTTTTGTATACATTTTCATGTTTGCTTTTGTTGTTGCTGTTGTTGTTGTAGCTGCTGTTGCTTATTTTGCTTTGATTGATGTTTTGGCGCCATTGCGTGGGCGCTCGTTCGATTGTTATTGTTTGCCGATCGTCGTCGATCGTTCGCATTTTATGCGGCACTCTGGCAACGCCAAGGCATTAGTGTGTGTGTGTGTGTGTTGAATCTGAAAGATCGTCATAGAGTCGCGTGTAACGCAAACCAGATTGTCATGTGAATCTTTTTTATCTCTGAGTGACAACAAAAAATAAAAAATAAAATATATATATATAAAAATTAATAATCAACTGAATGCGCTAGAAAATTCTGGTTGCATGTGTGTGTGTGTGTGTGTGTGTGTGTGTGTGTGCTCTCCTATTGTACACAATAGAAACACAACAATTTATATAAGCATGTTTTGTCAGTTTGTTGTTTTGTTCTCATTAGCTGCTATTTGCATTATTGGAGCGCTTTGGGTCGTTAGCCGTTGGCCATTGCCCGTTGGCCGTTAGCTGTGCTAACTGAGCAGTTAGCCTGACAGCCGCCACATGTTAATGAGCTAGTTTTGCAAAAAACACCTTCGGCAGGTGCAGGCACTGTGCAGCCAAATTGACGAATGAATGAAACACCCCACAGACGACGCACAGCCAGTTAGAGGCAGCTACAGCTACAGCTACAGCATTTTAGCCATATAAACAGATACAGATACACGGATACACGTATACACAGATACAGATACATACATATGGGTATATATGTAGCTGGGAGAATGTTAGACTCGCTATGAGCAACTAGCACAGTTACTGATTGTTGTTGTTGTTGTTGTTGTTGTTGTTATTGGCACACTTAGTTGTGAAGTTTATTTTGAATTTTAACACTTTTCGATACAGCGTATAAATTGTTGTTATATTTTTATTTGGCACTGTTGTTATTGTTGTTGCAGCTGCTGCTGCTGCCGCCGTTGCTGTTGTTGTTGCTATTGTTGTTGTTGTTGTCTTGCTGTATTCTTTTGCTTTTTGGCTCGCTTTGTGGCGCCGAGCTGTTTTTTTCCACACAACACAACACACATCAGTTGCTGCAATCTTTTAGCAACGTTTTTTTTTGTTTTTGTGTGTCACACAGTTGTTGTTGTTGTTGCAGTTGTTGTTGGTAGTGTCATAAGCTTTAATTGCATTCGATTTTGGTTCTCAACTGGTTGGCCCTGGCTAATACGCGCGTTGCAGTCACTTGCACGAATTTTTCTAGCCAAATTTGTGCCGTCACATTAGGCCGCATTGAACGTAGCTACTGCGGCTGCAACTGTTGCTGCTGCTGCTGCTGCTGCGATTGGCGACCAGTTGGCGATGTTATGGCCGACACGCCCGCGTTACACGCCCGCTGCATTGGCCGCAGACTCTCGAACTGAATTTGAATCTCGGTTTGAATGTAAATTTGAATTTGAACGCCTTCACCTTCTGCGTTCGCGATTTGCATAACGAGCGACCTGGGCAAAGCCAGAGGCAGTTGCTTCAAATATATAGGTAACGACGATTACGCTTCGTGTATTATCATATATTCATATAGATAGAGAGGGGCATATATATTTATTATATTATTATTATTATTATTTGTGAAGCCAATCCAATTGCGATTCACACACAGAGAGGCAGCAGCCGCAGTCCATTGGCGAGCTCAACGTCCCGTTACAAAAGCGTTTTACAACCGACACGGCGAACCAATTCAAAGCAACTGACTCCATAAATGGCGAGCAGCTGTTGCGAATGCCAGCTCCGGCGAGGCGAATTCACCCGGCCAGGGCAGCGCCTGAGCTGCGGTGGGGCGAGGGCGAGGGCGAGGCAGCCGATAAACGGCTCTCGCTCTCAGCAGATCGGCCTGAGCGCTGAGCGCGATCAAGTTTCAGTCAAAGCGCACTCACAGTTCACCGCACGCTCTCTCGGACTTGCTCTCCCTCTCGCTCTCTCTCTCTCTCTCACTTCTGACTACAATTGCTACCGTCTGCCGCACCATTGATATGCGAAGCTCAAGCTCTTCAGGCGAGCCGTTAATTGGAGTCTACACAAAACAGCTGCACCTGGATATAACAGAGACCCACACTAGCGCCAGCTGACTTGCCGCAGATCGTATTACTTCTAGCCGTGCGGCCGCCCTTAGCGCTTTTAATGAGGCTCCCCTCACACGTCAGCTGTGTGAGCTGCAGCGACAGCTGAATGCCCTACAGAGCAAGCTTTACATGTGGAGAGCGGAATAGAGACATCAGTGTGAAGCTTTACTGTTAACTTGAGTTTGTTTTAAGCTGTCAACTATATAATCTACATATATGTATATAGTGAGACTAGTTTATAGTATTACTGTAGAATGCGTTTGTAAAGACTCCGCTTATAGCCTCCTTACGGTTATTACGATGAAAATTCTGGTCCATAGACAAAGTTATATGAGCAAATTCATACGTTTAAAGCGTCTTTCGGGTATAACGATCGTATTCTATTGTATATACATTATATATATATACTATACGTATGTATGCAGGACTATATATAAATTAGCTGATCCAGTGTTAAACTAAAAGTATTTAGTTTACTTTCAAATACGTTTCTATACCACAAAGGCAATTATGATAAAGACAGTCAGCTTTATACAGATGCGAATCAGGTCTATATCGGTCTGTAAAATGAACTTAACTTTAGCTTGATTTATACCTAGTGAGAGTCTGGCATTTACATATATAAAATATATATGTAAGTACTAACCTATATTATATAACCTAACCTATATTATTATAAATATACGCCCATACTTTTAACTTTCATAGTTACACTCTATAACTCCTTCATATGCCAGAGCTAATATTTACTTAATTTACTTTTAACAGCAAAAAACTAATATAATAAAATAATGTAAACATTTCCTAAAATATGCATAAAAAAAATTTAAATAAAAAAATAAATTACAATAAAATTGCAATATTCGTTTATACTTTACTTAATTTAATATTCCCTTCCTCATATATTTACTTTAATAAAATGCTCTCTAAAAATTACTTGAAATTCACTTCAGCTGCAGTAATCCTTTTTTCATAGAATATATTTCGCTTGCAATTTGAATTGATTGAAAATCTCTCTGACATATTAATATGGAGCAATTTGAAAGCCATTTTTCATTTTGGTTTCATTTTTGTTATTTTTTTTTACACATTTTTTTTTTATACCCGCTTAGGGCAGAAATCTGTTTTTTTTGCTGTTTTGCGAGCATTTCATGTGTTTGCACTCAGCACACATTGCTCTGTCTAAGCTTGGGCATGGGGCATGGGGCATGGGGGGGATGGACGATGTGTGCTACAGATATAGTAGATTGGTTTTCTATTATAGGAGTACTTACTGCCCGTTCCAGTGGCGCGTCGCACGACGCTGTGCGTAAAGTTGCCGAGAGCTGCCACCGTCACAATGGAGTCCTTTTTGCCAGTGCTGAGCTGCAGGCGGGGATTACAGATAGGACAGATGCAGTTCAATTGGTCAGCTCTGTGTAAATCACAAGCTGTGGCTGTGGCCACGGCTGGCATACTCACCTTCTCGTAGTCGGACTCGTTTTTGGTTTGCAGCGGATTAAGGAGACCCTGGTTGCACATCATGTTGTCCCCGCAGGTGGCGCTGCCCGTGCTGCCGTCGCCGTTCTGATTCTGCAGCGTGACAGCGCCGCAGCTGCAGCGACGCATCCGACTGCGCCGCAGCTTGATGCAGAACAGCAAGCTGCCATCCTTCTCATTGGCATCCAGCGGGGGCAAGGGCGCATTCCCTCCATTGCCGGCTCCTGGCCCCGTCGCCGACGACGAGTTGGGCAATGTACTCGGCGAGCAGCCCATGGCGCTGTCCTGTTTCCTGTGCTGCTACTGCTGCTGCTGCTGCTACTCCTGCTACTTCTGCTACTCCTGCTGCTGCCCTTGTTGCTATGGCTATGCTAATTTGTTGTCGGTTTCGGTTTGGTTTTGGTCGCTGTTTGGTTTGCTTCTTGAGTTTCAATGTAGCTGCCGAGTGCTGTGTGCTGTTGCTGCTCCTCCTGCTGCTGCTTAAGCTGTGGCTTCTACTGCTGGAATTTGTGCTTCTATTTGGCTGTTGCTGTTGTTGTTGTTGCTGTTGTTGTTGTTGTTGTTGTTGTTGATGTTGTGGTTGTCTGCTTGTTGTGGGTAACATAATTGAAACATTTTTTTTGGGTGTGCGCGTCAAGCGGCGATCTATTGATGGGCTGATTGGCCGTCTCTCCGCTTACATCTCAAGCAGCTAGCTAGAAGTGCCACAAATATAAAGAAAATAAACAATATATTAGTGAGAGAGCGAGCCAGAGAGAGATAGTGAATATATAGATATACAATATATATATATATATATACATATATATATAGAGCAGTGTCTCATGCATAGTCAAGTTTTCTTGCGTTTTATTTATTTTTTGGCACTCAATTGTGAGTGCCCCGCCCGAGTTGTTTTGGGCTGATTTGCTATACAATTCGCTGCGGCTGTTTTAAAATAGTAATTCGTTGACCTCCACATTTGCTGGCCAAGTGGTTTTCGCTCCGCTCAGCTCTGTCTGTCTGCACTGAAGCGGCTAAATAGTTGGCCAATTCTGCAATCAGCTGGCACACTCGCTGGCCCGCTGGAGTTTAGACCCTAAAAACCAGTTGAGTGCCAAGCAGCCGGGCTAACAGCTCGACTAGCGCACAACAATTAAGATTAGCTACATGATCATCATAATCATCATCATCATAAATCATCGTCAATTGACTAAAGCAATTCATCAATGGATATTTGTTCGGCCCATATATATAAATACTATATATATGTAATACATACATACATATTTATATATCTTAATAAGCACAGCTATAATTCTGAAATTTAAGTAAGTAAGCTTTCTTGCTGCGCTGATTATCTAGATTGTTCCAGTTATTCTGGTTTGCTTTAAATTACTTTTAAATCAAATATGTTTTTGTTTTTATTTAAAGCAACTGCGAGCTGTAAAACAATTTAATGTTCTTTTATCTCATATTAAATTTCATTCTTAATCAGGTAAAATGCATAAGCCGTAAAATCTTTTAATTTCAGATTTTATGGCTTATGCATTTTTCCCGTAATTAATACAAAACAGTTTTAATACTCTGCCTCCAAAGAGGTAAAAGGTATATTGGCTTCGCTTTTCGTCTCACTTTCAATATAACTATATAATATTCACTGAAGGCCGAGCATGCTGCAGTTGAGGATTCTCCGACGAGAGAGAGAAAGAGTATAGGTAGACCTTGTCGGAGTGCAGAGCAACGGTTATCTTACTTTAGTCAGAATACTTTGTAAATATTTGTTGAATTTATGTTAATTACGCCAAACTGCCAAAGAATTTCAGTGAGCGAGTGAGAAATCGAGTTAACTAGCATAAAAATCAAGATAAACGAGAGAAAAAACTAATTAACAATTTATGTTGAAGGGAAAGTCAAAGTTCTAATTTAATCTTCATAAATAATAAATTGAGCAAGGGATTCAAAAATCAGAATAAAACTAAATTGATCAGCTATGTATAAGCGAAAAAATATATATTTTATATAAATAATTTATTGTACGAAAAATTATATAAATAATAATGAAAATGAATAAAAAAAAAGGAAAAAAAATATACACAACTAAAATGATCAGCTATGTATAAAGGAAAAATATTTTTTATATAAATAAATAATTATAAGAATTTATATAAATATTAATAAATAAACAAATAAATAAATAAATAATAAGTTAAAAAAAATATAATAATTAATTGGTGAATAAAAAAAAGGAAAAATATATACATATATGCA